GAGTGGTTATCCTAAATAAGTTTGAATTCAATTTCAAAACCTATTTGGATAAGGATTCAAAATCAAATTTAATGGTCATGCCACATGGGCGCCCAATTTCTAACATCAAGTTATACCTATTAAGCCCTAAGGAGCTTAATTTCATAACTCCAAAACTCGCCAACCAAGACTATGTAGCGTGCCGCTAACTATAGCGCACACATTAGTTTTTATTGTGCCAAACAAGGCAACAAAACCACGGCGACTTTGAGTCATGTTTCCTTACTTTGGCTCAATTAAGGTTTGACTTAAAGTCTCCAAGACTTTTGCTCATCTAAAGAATGGGATTAGTTTGTTCACATTTGAACATCTCTACTAAGTTTAGGTCAACCAAATTAACTTTCATAAGCTAAATCAATTTAGAGAGAAATTCGCATTGGGATTAATTTGTTTAGCATAATATAATTTTGCCGCAAAAATCTAAATTAAATAGTGACAATATTACACAAGTCGCAAGATCGAAAATCCGCTATGCTCGTAATCATCTCTTGCGCCACAAGTGACAATTATCCAAAATTTAGTTTAATTTATGCGCAAAATATTGGTTTTCGGGAGTTAATCTACAAAGATTTCTCTCAACCGAATAACCTCCCACTGACTATGGCATATACAAAGCATGATAAATTCCATACAACAGCATCTTAATGTAAATTTACAAATAATTCATGCTATATCATTTAATAATGGAATTCTAATAAATAAATAAATAAATAATCATGCTCCTCTAATTACAACATATTACAAACCTAAAAAAAATGCTGTATCCAATATTCAGATTATGCCATAATTAAAGTACATCATCCTGAAATTTTCTGGAATTTTTCTAAAATATTCTGGAATTTTAAATAACTAATAAACACACATAAAATTAGAAATAAAAAATTCAGAAACTGATAAACTGAGACAATATTACCAGTAGATAGTAAAACATTTTAGAAGTCCACAATAAAAATTTCAACCCCAAAAAAATAATCATGCAACACCAGATGCATTTTAAAGCAAAAAAAATACATTATTAACACATGAAAAATATTACATATTTTCGTAAAATTTTCAAAATTTTACAGAATGTAGAAAATTTAATTCTGAGTCTAAGGGTACCAACCATGCTTAAAACAAAGCTATAACGAATAAATTATGGCCAATTAACGCAATTAACACAGGAAAAATGTTACATATTTTCGTAAAATTTTCAAAATTTTGCAGAATGTAGACAAATTAATTCTGAGTCTAAGGGTACCAACCATACTTAAAACAAAGCTATAACAAATAAATTATGGCCAATTAACGCAATTCAGAATTAAAAAACAAACAAACAGAGCCTTAGAACCAAGCCAGGCGGGAAAAACGGCTAAGCTCGGCTCGGCTCCGCTCAGCGCAAAGCAAAAAAAATGCATTATTAACACAGGAAAAATATTACATATTTTCGTAAAATTTTCAAAATTTTACAGAATATAGAAAAATTAATTCTGAGTCTAAGGGTACCAACCATACTTAAAACAAAGCTATAACGAATAAATTATGGCCAATTAACGCAATTCGGAATTAAAAAACAAACAAACAGAGCCTTAGAGCCAAGCCAGGCGGGAAAAACGGCTCGGCTCGGCTCGGCTCCGCTCAGCGCAACTCGGCGCGAGTCGGCTCAAGGAGCGGCTCGGGACGGCGCGCGTGCGTGGACAGCGCCGCCGACGCGCGCGTGATGGCGCGTGCAGGCGCGTCAGCAGGGCATCCGGCGCGTGGTGGCGCGTGGCACCGCTAGGAGGCGTCATACAGCGCGTGTATCACACACGCCGCCTTCCCGGGTGTTTTCTGGTCCGATTTTTGTACTGCCGGACTCTTTTTTTCAAAATAAAACCGTTTATGGTCTTAAAAAAAACATTAATGAACATAAAAAAATATTTATGCTCTTAATTTAATCAAAGTTGATTTTTTTTTTCTTTACAGACATTCATGTATATAATATAAACATACACATGTAAAAATATACACATGATTAATGGAAACACGAAAATATCCATCAAAGGCTCTGATACCAATGTAAATCAGAGATACAAAACATGCAGCGAAATAAAATGTTTAGATCATACCTCATTTGATCTAAAATCTCGTGGATAAATCACGTGCTTCCAGAATCTAATCAATCAATCCCAGCAGTGGGGTGATATTACAATGGTGAATATCACCCACACAAACCACGGTGCAAAATGACTTGATCGTTGTTTCTTGGGAGAGAGTCAGTATATGGGTAGAAACAAAACCTACGTTGTTTCTCTCTTGGGTTACCCATAACCATATATCAGATATATATTATATTATTATTATTTATCCATATCAGTTAAAACTGATAATATCTATATCCTGAGTGGTTATCCTAAATAGGTTTGAATTTAATTCAAAACCTATTTGGATAAGATCCAAATTATGTTCAAATGGTCATGCCACATGGGCGCCCATTACTAACACTTAGAATAAAGCACCACACACTAATTAAGATAATCTAAGGATCATAAATCTTTCATAATCATTTTCATGAAAAAAATTTCATAATCCCTAACTTTTCTCAATTTAAAAAGTCAACTAAAATCTTGACTTTTTAACACGGTAAAAATTATGGCTACTTGTTGCTTTAGGCCCTTTTATGAAATAAAAATAACAAAATTTAAATAATATCTAATATTTTGTTGATGTATTGACTTAGGCCTCGTTTGACAATTGTCATTTTTAGCTAAAAAATTAAAAAGTTACTAAAAAAATCAAAAAGTCAACAACTCATACCAAACCCTTTTCTTTCTACTTTTTGCACATCTTTTCATAAAAAGTCAAAAAGTCATCACAAACATACTAGTTTTTTTTACATTACATTTTAGTCAAAAAATCAAAAAGTTATTAAAAAAGCATGTTCCCAAACGAGGCCTTAATTTGTTGTGTCTTCTATAATTTATATTGTATCTGAAATTTAAACGAATTATTGTAACTTTAATTTAAGGCCCACCATTTTCTAGTTCTTTATTTTTATTTTTATTTTTTGTATTAAGTTCTCATTTCGTACAAACTAAAGTATTTACCAAAACAATTAATAAAGGGGTTGAGAGAGAGAGAGAGAGAGAAAGAGAGAGAGAGAGAGAGAGGAGGAGGAGGAGGAGACATAAGCACAAAAGCATTTATAATAAGCAACTGGCAGTTGATTAAAGAAAGCATTTTTTTGTGTTTATATGTATACAATATTTTTTTTTTTTTGTCATTCTTTTTTTTTTATCTTCCCCGTGAAAGCCATTAGAGCATCTCCAACGGTGTACCAAATATTTCACCAAATTTGTGTAAAAAATGGGTCATTTCCTTAATTTGATACTTCGCGCTCCAACGGTTCAACATCAAATCCGTTTCATCAAATTTGCGCTGGGCAACCGGTTGGTTGACCGGCCGGTCGACCGGCCGGTCAACCGGTAATGGCAAAAAATTTTTTTTTTTTTTTTTTTTTACCCGTTTGAACCTTTTTTTTGGAACTTTTTGAACTTTTGGTGGTCGACCGGGTGGTCAACCGGCCGGTCGACCGGGTGGTCGACCACCTAGGCAAAATTATTTATTATTTTTTTTTTTTGGACTGGTTTGAACCTTTTTGTGAACGGTCTGAACTTTCTCCGGGGCGACCGGTTGGTTAACCGGTTGGTCAACCGGATGGTCGACCTGTTCGTCTCATCCCAACGGTTAGGAACAGTGATTTGCTGAAATGCTTCGCCTGCACTCAGTTTGGTACCATTTTTGCTGAATTCTGGATTTGATATCGATTTGGTGAAATCGTTGGAGCGTGAAAAAGTGGGTTTTTCATCAAAATTTAAATCTGATGCTGGGTTTGGTTCACCGTTGGAGATGGTCTTAATGAGTCTAATTTGATAAATCATGTCATGTCCAATATGTTTTAAAACATGTTTTGACTTTGCATGATTTAATGGTTGTAGTAGCATTTGCCACGAAAACTTTTCCCAGTGATTAGCCTAGACTATGGGAGATGTTACACAAATAGACAACCTATAAAATGCAATGAAATGCAGAAGACTCGGATATTACAGGCCTTCAAGAACCAACAACGTCTTCTTTAGCGATTTTCACTCCCTTCCATTCATTCTCAACCATTTGCTATAGGAGCATTGATGTGTGGATGAGAAAAGATAGGACAAAACAGAGAGAGAACAAAGAAACCCCAATTGAGATCAGAGCATATCAATGCACCATCTCTTCTTTTCCTGGTTCCATCCCCGGTCATCCGGGTTAGTTTGCTGATACTTTGAACCCCAAATGGACAACAAGAGATGGTTTAGTTTAATCTCTTAAGCTCCCCAAAAAAAAACCCATAAACTAGTTTCAATTGTTTGAGGCGTGCAGGAAAACTTATTTCTTTCTCTCTGTTCCCCCCTCTAAAGCCTCATCTGTTTTCCTGTACGCCAACTTCATTCCTCTCCGTCAAGAAATTCGTTTGTAGCCATGCAAACCATTACACACATTTTTCTTTCTCTTTTATGCCTATCTCTTGTTCTCAATCCCCAAAAAGCATTGAGCTCGAATCCAACATCGTTTGCATTAAGTTGTGGCAACAAAGACGGTGGTACTGACAACGATGGCAGAAAATGGGAATCGGATTCAAAATACCTAGTCACGTCTGATAAATCTGTTGAGGCTGCGGCTCAAGTCCAAGACCCTTCTGTACCTTCTCCAATACCATACATGCATGCAAGGTTCTTTAAGTCTGAAACAACGTACAAATTCGATGTTAATGGAAGCAGTCGTTATTTTCTTAGGCTTCATTTCTATCCATCATCATACCCTGACTTCAACACCACCAACTCCTACTTCTCAGTTGTTGCTGGTGGAGTTACCGTTTTGAATAATTTTAGCGCTTCCATTGCAGCTCAGGCTCTCACACAAGCTTACCTTATGAAAGAATTTTCTTTGGCTCCTTTGAACAAAGATTCCCTTAGTGTCACCTTCAAGCCTTCTGACAAATATAATGGATCTTTTGCATTTGTCAATGGTATAGAGCTTATACCATCGCCTGAATTATTTGACTTGGCAACAATGGTGGGGTTTGATGACCAGCCTCTCAGTGTCAACTCTGCGAATGTTCAAACAATGTGGAGATTAAATGTTGGTGGCCAATATATTTCTCCTTCTAATGACTCCAGTGGTCTTGGCCGAAGTTGGTACGATGATTCGCCTTATATTTTCAGTGCTGCAACTGGGGTCACCAACCAAGCCGACAATAATGTCACAATCCAGTATAGAAATTTTTCAGCATCCATAGCTCCAGTTGACGTGTACAGAACTTCAAGACAAATGGGTTTTGATGGGAATGTCACAAAAAGTTTTAATCTCACATGGGCCTTTCAAGTTGATGGGAATTTTACTTACCTTATGAGGCTCCATTTTTGCGAGTATGAATTAAGCAAGATCAACGAAAGAGTTTTTTTTGATATATTCATCAACAACCAGACTGCAATTAAAAACGCTGATGTGATTGCATGGTCAAGTCAAAAGGGTGTTCCTTTTTACAAAGACTTCGCCATATATGTTCCTGATGGAGCAGGTGATGAGATGCTTTGGTTGGCACTTTGGCCAGACAACTCAATGCATCCTTTATATCTTGACGCAATTCTAAATGGGTTGGAGATATTCAAAATCAGTGATGCGAACTCAAACTTGGCAGGTCCCAACCCTACCGTATCGGCGATGATGCAGAAGCAGCTAGACGAGGAGGCCAAAAGGGCTTTCAGTAGTGATCAACCTAAGAAAACCTATACCACTGCATTAATTGGTGGAGCTGCAGGAGGAGCTGTTGCTTTTGCTTTTGTGAGTGCAGTAGTAATTGGCTATAAACGGAAGAGGAGACTTCCTGACAGTGATTCACGTACATCTAGTTGGTTGCCAATCTATAGCACCACCCATACTTCGGGAAGCAAATCGACCATCTCTGGCAAGAGTCATGGTGGCACCAACATTTCATCTGATGCCGCGTGCAACTGCCGCTATTTCTCCTTGGCTGAGATACAACAAGCCACTAAGAACTTTGATGAGTCTAACGTCATTGGTGTTGGTGGGTTTGGAAAGGTTTATAAAGGTGTCATCGATGGGAATACCAAAGTGGCTGTTAAAAGGTCAAACCCATCTTCCGAGCAAGGAGTTAATGAGTTCCAGACTGAAATTGAGATGCTTTCGAAGCTAAGGCACAGACACCTGGTCTCTCTAATCGGCTTCTGTGAAGAAAATAATGAGATGGTCTTAGTTTATGATTACATGGGACATGGAACTATGAGGGAACATCTTTACAAGGGCAACAAAATTACTCTCTCCTGGAAACAAAGGTTGGAAATTTGCATTGGAGCAGCTAGAGGACTTCACTACCTTCACACTGGGGCTAAATACACTATCATCCACAGGGACGTCAAGACCACAAACATTCTCTTGGATGAGAAATGGGTTGCTAAGGTCTCAGACTTTGGGCTCTCCAAAACTGGTCCCAACATGAATCAGGGCCACGTTAGCACTGTGGTGAAGGGTAGCTTTGGTTACTTGGATCCTGAATATTTCAGGAGGCAACAATTGACGGAGAAGTCGGATGTGTACTCATTTGGTGTTGTTCTTTTCGAGGCATTATGTGCAAGGCCAGCTCTCAACCCAAGCCTTCCAAAGGAACAAGTTAGTCTTGCAGATTGGGCTCTGCATTGCCAGAGGAAAGGAACTCTAGCGGACCACATTGATCCCCAACTCAAGGGAAAGTTAAGCCCAGAGTGCTTGAAGAAGTTTGCAGAGACAGCTGAGAAATGTTTAGCTGACCATGGAACAGATCGTCCCTCCATGGGTGATGTGTTGTGGAATCTTGAGTTTTGCTTGCAATTGCAAGAAAACCCAGAAGGTAGTTCAAAACCAAAGCAAACTTCAACAAGCGTGGATTATGACCAACCAGAAGAAATTGATCACAATAGTTTCTTGGCAATGCACCGGAGTACCTTAAGCCTTGGAAGTGAGCATGATGAAAATGAATCAGATGATAACACAAACGATATCTTCTCCCAGATTGTCAATCCAAAGGGGCGGTAATATGATTTTTCTTATAGCTATGTGTGTCAATTGAACTGGCTATATCAACGCTATGAAGCCATACACCTGAGTTGAGACCAGTTGGTTTTCTGACAGGAATGATAATATTTTCACGATGTATATTGAGTGTCGGGTCTTTCTATTTGTTCTCTCTTAATTTTAGTATTATTCACCGGACCTGCTATATTCAAACACATAGCAACTTGTACTCAATGTACGGAGATGATACCCAAAAAAAAATAAAAATAATAAAAATTATAATACAACTATATTTTCTAATTATATACAATTGATGTTGCAATGTAACATGCTATGAAAAAGAGTGACCATTTTTCCTAGTTTCTTCTCAATTATGTGAATGATTGTAGCTCTCTGTATCACCAAAACAATTTGTGAAAATCATTTACAGGCATTGATCAGTCAGTCATATTTGTATGTCCAGAAACTTGTATCCTCTTTAGCTCCTGCATTACTTCTAAGCATGTTCCTGCACCTCCTTGTGCACTGTTTGTTGCACCATCCTCCAAGTTGATATAAAAATTTTAATTAAAAAAACAATGCTTGGGACTCCCAAAGTTACCTCCAAAATGATGTGGACCAATCATATATATATATATATATTTTTTCTTTCATTCCTAGATCAATCACAGGTGAGTAGGAGTTGTATTTTTTGGGGATCTGTAGCATTGTTGATAATGAAGAATACTAGGGATCATAAAAAATTTTCACCATTTGATTAGTGTGTGGTGTTTTATTGTATTTGTAATCCAAGAGTAGAAAATCTTTCATAATCATCTTTGTTATATTTTGGGGAAAATTACCAATAGGTCCTAATAGTTAGACTTAATTCTCATTAAGTCCTATTGAAAATAAATCTTGCTAAAATTGTGGTTAAAAATAATTTTTTTGTGACAATTTTTTACATACGTTGTTAAAAATTGACAATTAGTGATTTTTTTGTCATAATTTTTATAAATTGTCGCTAAAACTTACAATTAGTGACTTTTTTTATGACAATTTTTTTCTATAGGACCTATTAGATAATAAGTTCACTTATTAGAACCTACACGTACCCCTATATTTTTTATATAATCTCTAACCTTACTCTTACCATAAGTTGAATTTATTTCTTCACCAATGTTAGATTTTCAAATACATATAATAAAATCTGTCAGGAGGATAATAAAAAAAATTAAATAAGAATTTATTTCTTCACTAATGTTGGATTTCAAATGCAATCTATCATGAAATCTTACCATAAGTTGAATTTATTTCTTCACCAATGCTAGATTTTCAAATACATATCATGAAATCTGTCAGGAGGATAATAAAAAAAATTAAATAAGAATTTATTTCTTCACTAATATGTTGGATTTCAAATGCAATCTATCATGAAATCTGTCACGAGGTTAATAAAAAAATTAAATAATAAATTTTCAAACAAAACAATACGATAAAAACTTAATTGATGCTGCCCAGGATCGAACTGGGGACCTTCAGTGTGTAAAACTGACGTGATAACCACTACACCACAGCACCAATTGGTGAAAACAGCAGTCTTTTTCTTATTTTTATATAAAATGCATGAACTCCTACGATATTCAATCTACATGTGTAGAGCATCAAATTACTAGTTGCTGTTGCTTTTTTTTTTTTGTTTTTTTTTATCAGAACATGATTACTAATTGAGAGGGGGAAAAAAAACAAAAAGAATCCACTCTTTAATTGATATTTGATAGTGATAATTTGAGGTTAAAAAAAAAAAAGAGATTTGTAGTTAGGTTGCATTATTTGCATTTGCTAGTATAATTTTTTATTTTTTTTTAAATTTCTAATAAAAATGTAGTTTGAATTGGCCTTTAGCGGAACACTTGTCAAAGCTAGTTATTTTATGCTTTCAAACTTTAAAATATCATAATTTTTATTGTATATATGTTTTTTGATAAAATTAATATTTTTAGAATTTATTTATCAAAATTTATCAAATAATATCTATGTTGAATATTAAATTATGTAAAAATAAATAAAATTCAAAGTTTTGTGTTGTGAAATTTTATAATTTGTACTTGATAATTTTTTGAGGTTTTTTTTAAAACTATAAAAATTTATATATTTTTTTTAAAATTCACAATTAAATTTTTATTATTATTTCTTTAAGTTGCAAGTTATAAAATTTTTTATATTTTTTTTTAAATTCACAATTAAATTTTTATTATTATTTCTTTAAGTTGCAAGTATTGCCCTGTTTATAAAAACTAATTCAAAGTTAGTTTGGTATAAGAGGTGAAAACACAGAATAAATTATTACCGTTATTTGTTTGGGTAATAAAAATAAATAAATGATTATATTTTCTCACTCTATATTTAAATAATTAAAAAACAAAATATGTGAGAAAATAATATAAATGATATAATTTTTTCCGTCATATTTTAATGAACAATCTTAATATTACAAGAAATTTTATAAACAAACAACTTATTTTTCATAAAATCTCCCCACTCTAAGGTGATGAATAAAGTAAATAGAAGAGTTAATTATCAAAAAGTTGGGTAAATTATAAATGCACCCACTGAGGTTTGCTTAAAATACGAATTACCCCCAGTGATTTGAAAAATTACAAATATCTCCGTGTCAGAATTTTTTATTTAACAGAATTAATTACAAAAATGAAATTTCTAACTATTCACCTATACAATAATAAAATTATCTGAATTATTAATTAAAATAAAATTGTAATATTATTAAAAACTGTTAATTAACTTGATGATTTATTAATAAAAAGACATATTTGTCATGAAATTAGAAACCTTAGGGGGTATAATGTAATTTCTAAAACCACAAGGGGTCATTTGTAATTTAAGTAAACCTCAGGGAGTGTGTTTGTAATTTACCCCTAAAAATTCTATTTATAAATGTTATGGTAGTTCGGGTCCTATCTAAGATTTTTTAAACCAATAAGTCTTATTTAGTAAAATAGAAAATATTATCAGTTTTCCCTAATTTTTAAAATTAAGAATATTATCAATTTTGCATAGTAATATTCCAAATAATTATTTCACTAACTGATAAAAAAATAGAGCATGAGATTAAATATTTTTACCCTTCTACTTATTGGTTTGATTCAATTATTCAATAAAACCGAGAATATTATCAGTTTTTTCAGTTTTACACATCAATGTTCCATCATTATGTTCTTTTATAGACACAAAATTTTCAATCTCATACAAACAAATAATTCAATTTTTTCAAAAAAAAATATTTTTTTTGGTTAGTTTTTTCAATTTGAAAGTTGATATTTTAAAGTTTTGAAGATCAAAATAAATGTCAAATTATTATGTTCTTTTATAGATAATCATAAATGATGAACAATCATTATTTGAAAAGCAATTTCAACTATTAAAAATTTAATGGGACTTGAAGATTCAAAAAATCTTAGTTAAGATATAATAGAGTATAAGATCTCGTTTGAGAACATACTATTTTAGTAATTTTTTGATTTTTTTACGAAAAGATGTGTAGAAAAGTAAAGTGTGATGTGACAACTTATAGTGACTTTTTAACTAAAATGTATAATTGACAGACAAAACCTAGATTCATTTTCCACATAACATATAAAATATAAGGAAGAGTCTTATATATCTCATCATTTTTATAGGTTATATTATACATAATTTTATTTTTTATTTTATGTTTCCACTATAAGATAAACAAATATGATCCATATTAACAAATGCATATGAGACTCAATAAAAATAAATAAATAACGTGATGCTTTAGAAAGAATGGCGTGTCGATCTTCCATACTTGTAAGGCTTAACAGATTTGTCTTCTTTCTAGCACTATTTAATCTAATCATTGTCATGTACTCTCTTACCAATTTGACTTTTTGGTATGGGTTGTTGGCTTTTTGACTAATTTAGTAACTTTTTGGCTAATTGGCTAAAATAGCCTCTTGCCAAACGAGACTCAATAAAAATAAATAAATAACGTGATGCTTTAGAAAGAATGGCGTGTCGATCTTCCATACTTGTAAGGCTTAACAGATTTGTCTTCTTTCTAGCACTATTTAATCTAATCATTGTCATGTACTCTCTTACCAATCGACCAGCAATAAGGTAACAGTTACGGCCGACAAGGGTAATCGCAGTCGATAAAGTGACAGTCACGATTGATAAAGGTGACAACTATAATAGACAAGTATTGTATCAGTCATCCAGCCAGTCGATCAACATGTACAAAAAGTGGCCTCTCCCCCGTCTTTGATTCTCTGATTACCACGCGTCTTCATCTGCTAAAGAGTGAAGGACATGGCCAGACAAGACATGGTTGGAGAGGAGACAGATCGAGGCTAAAAAAATCACCATAAATTATTATATCACTTTTTTTTTTTACTATACGTTAGAATGGTTTAAAAAAATATGGGAATTATATATTTGTATTATATTGAATTGAATTAATATACACTAGGAGATGCATGTATATATATACGCTGAAAAACTTAGATAAATATAGAAGGAGATAGAGATAGAGAGAGATAGAGATATAAGGAGATAAAGATAAAGAGATATAAAGATAAGATATATCTACAATACAGGTAGATAAGTATAAAGCTAATATATACATTAACAACCCCCCCAAACTCAAGGTGGGTAAGCATCAACCAACTTGAGTTTTTGGAAACTAGATCTGTAACAACCTCGACCCATAGTTAACGTTAATCCATATTTAATTGTATCTAAAAAGAAATTAAAGTGAAATTTTGCATCATACATTGCATTGTTTGTGTTTATATCTGTTTAACGTAGAAAGATATGTTCATGTTTCTGTTTCGGAATACGAATTGAAGGCCTTATTGGCATCCGATTCAGAAATTGACTTCATTTATGTGTTAATTAGAATTTTTAGAATTTTATAGCAGGTTTAATTGAAATTTGGTTTGGAATGATTAAATTAAAATAATTTAATGTCTACTTGATTAACTTGATCAATAAATAATTACACATATGCCCAAGCCTATATAAGGTCATTCCTACCTCTTCCTACACATTTTTGACACCCTCATTCCCTCATCTTTGAGCACAACATGAGAGACAGAGAGAGACTAAAGAACTCGGGACCAAACTTGAAGTTGAGAAGACTATTGCTGGGAGATTTGGAGAATTACTCAAGATTTTGATTAAGTGAGGCTCAATTGAGTAGCCGAAGGAAGAGCTCAACCTTACAACCTTGGGATTGAGTCATTTAGCACATGAATACAAATGAAATAGGTGAATTTATATAGGAAT